TGTATGTGTCTGTGTGTGTGTGTGTCTGTGTGTCTGTGTCTGTGTCTGTGTCTGTGTCTGTGTGTGCGTGGGTGCGTGTGCGTGTGTGGGTGTTTGTTTGTTCGTTTAGTGGGTTGTTTGGTTGCGTGTCTCTGCGTGTGCATATGTTTATTTGCGTGTTTTTTTTGGTTGTTTGTTCGTCATTGTTTAGTTGTGTTTTTGTTGGGTGTGTTTGTGATTGTTTGTGTTTTTTGGTGTATTTCTGTTTGTTTGCTTACTTGTTGGTGTGGTTGTGTGTTTGCCTGGTTGTGTGTTTGTCCGTTTGTTTGTTCTTTCGTCTGTTTGTGCCTTCTTGCTTGCTTGTGTTCTTGCTTTCTGGCTTGTTTGCTGTCATACGTTCATTTGTATTTGCTATTGTTTGCTCAAGGACAAGACTCGGACACGAGTCTTCGCTATTTAGATAACCGCGTATAGCGTGGCGGGAGGCCACATGTCTATTTGCAGACAGCGGGCGGAAAACAGCAAGAGGAACAGACACAGCAGAGGGCTGTCTGAGACGCTTGAAACGACCCGAGCAGCCTCCACTGCACGATACGGCACAGGACGGATTTTGATGCGGCTACTAGTGCGACTGGCAGGCTTAGACGGAATCGCCTACGGCGCGAGCAACGCAGCACCTCAACCACACGACTTCCGGGCATGTTCCTTTCTGGGCCTTGGACCTTTGATGTAAAACTGCAACGGAGTCGTTCTTGGAAGAAAGGGGAAGCATGCACCCGCGCTGCACTCCTCTGGAAGCATCTGGAGAAGGCTGGTGTTGAAGCAGAAGAGAAAATACAGCGAAGCCAGTGTTGAAACCCAAACCTGGGCATGTCAGTAAGGAGCAGGGCTAGAGTTGGCTAGAGATGGCTAGAGGGCATTTTGCTCGTTAAGGCGAACTTTAGCAAACTTTAGCATATTCGCCTTGCCAATGTTAGGTGCCAACCAGCGACCGGTCCCCTTGGAATGCGATGTTTCCCGGAACTTTTGAGCCGGTCCAAACAGACGGCGCTGCAGGACTACCGTGAAAACACAATGGAACTCTGCTCGACTCTGTGTATCCGACCCGGCTGACCCTCAAAGCTTGCACTCGTCTCATAACTGAGTTGGGGGACCACGAAGTGGAACACAAGCGCTGGCAGGCCGTAGCGATTCCTTGCAAAGGAGAGCGACTTCCACTACCGGGCACGAAGTTTGGAAAACCGGACATGCATGCGAGGGTCATCTCAGCAACCGCTGCTAATGCTTCGGGCTGCAAGTCTCGCTGCCAGTTCTGTCACAAGTGCCAAAGACCCTCTGAAATGCAAATCTCTCCGGCAAGGGTCAAGATCTCTGGGATGCTCATGTGCTCCTCAAGTTTGGCTTCCACATTCCTGGACCACTCGGATCTGCAGATGTGGAAGATCCATTCGGCACGACACGAAGACACATGCAGCTGAGGATCGACGTTGTTGTGTCTCTGGCCTCCCACGGCTTGGAAGACTCATACCTCGGGCAATGAAGCTAAAACTGCATGGCACGGCTGTGTAAGAAGATGCCTGGAACATAACGATCATTTACAGATGTGTGAATGCACACCTCTGCATTCAAAGCCCTGGTGGCCTCGTCGTTTGCTTGGTGGCAGGTTGCGGCTGCGGCCTGCAGGCGAGACTGCAGTGACGCACGGGGACAGTGAGCTCGAAGTTTTGGAATGGCCGATGCTTTCACAAGGACTGTTCACTCAGCCAGAAATGCTTAGAGCTTGCAAATGGCATGGAATTCTTGCAAAGCAGACTCTCTTTCATGAGCATCCGTCCACAGTGCAAGGCCCGATTGCCCCCCGAAGCCGGCCATGGAAGGCCGACGAAGGCCGACTCAAAGGCATGGTAGAGTACCACGAGAGCGCTCAATGCGATGATGCCAGACAGGCAGCCTTGACTGCATCTTGCAAGCTGCTGGGGAGGGACTGGGAGTGGTGGGAAGCTCTCGCACAGGGCTCTGATCGGTATTGCCGCTTCCATGCTGAGCTTCGGTTCTCACAGATCCGTGCAGACGGGGGGCTACGCTGCCGCCGTCGGAAAAATCCCGCCATGACCGGCGAAGGAAGGCTTCAGTTTTGCTGAAGAATTAAAGTTAAAAAGCCTCGGGCCAGACGCACAGCCGAAGACATCAGGCAGGAGCATCCATCCGGAATCCAAGCAAACCACCAGTGGCGGTATTTGCTTGGATCAACCAGCAGCTTAGAGCATGATGCCTGGACACTGCCCACCCCAAACCACCAACAGAGAACACGAAGCCCGATTCGAGAGCACTTGTGTCACGTGCCCATGAGCTGCTGGCAGCATCTTGCCACATGGAAAGAAAGGACATGTCGTTTACACCGCATTTCTGAGACTCGCAACTTTTTGCTCTGATGCTGGCTTGCCACAACTGGCGGCGCCTCTTTGGAACGCCTGCCGATGGGAATTACTCTTAGCCAAGAGCCCAAGACAGTGAAAGAGCACCTGGCAGTCCAAGCCCCACTTACACACCCAAGAACCATTCTAGGAACACCCCGGAGGCTCCCAAGACCCCATGAATCCGATGGGGCACAAGACTGTGGCGGGAGGACGACTTTTTGGAGGCGGAAACACGAGTCACACCCCAAATATTCACATTTTGGCGAAAGGTGGCGAAAGCACGCATTAGCGAAGCGGAAGTGGTTGGAAGACGATGCCTTGCCTACCGCGAAATGCGCACGGCACTGTGGCGGGGCACCATTGCCAACTTTGGAAAAGGCCTATCCCGTGGCCCTGGCAAGCTCTTCGCCTTTTCCAGCAGTTCGAAAGCTCAACTGAGCACGGACTGTGGCGACAGCATGCGAGAGCACGATTTCAACCCAAAAAATCCCATGGTGCAAAGCAGCGGCAGCGCGATTCATCAACTTCGCGAGCACGAAAGCATTGGATTCTTCATGATGGTACAATGAGTTCGGCGTCCCTGGCAGATGAGGCTGGCAGCAGACTGGGGAAGGAAAGTGTTTTGAGTCGAGTCGACAATGTACAGCGGGTGCGCCAATCGACCGTGCTTCGGGTGGACAGCATCCCTTGACTTTGAAGTAAGCTTGCCACACACAATACTCCACGTTCATCTTAGCATCAGGGTAGGATCTGACGTTGCCTTTGAAAGTCAGATTGTTCCCCACTCAGACGGTGTTGGTCTGGCGTTGGTGAAACGCAGCAACGACAGCGCCCGTGGATTCTCGCCCTAGCAATCGGCGATATCCAGAACAAATACATCAGTACAACAACGTCCGACACTGATCCAACTGTCCTTGCGTTACCGGCCTTGCTTCTTGGAAGCAAACAGGCAGTCACGTATCACAACATGCTCCAGAACCTGACGTTGAGTTCGGCCTGTTGGCATACGTTTCTAAGGCACATCATGCGACAGCACCTTCAGGTCTGGCGTCTGCTAGTTGAAGTTGCAGAAGAGCAACCTGTATTTGTGACTCGCTAGTTGCTCCAGAAAACCTGGGCAGTAGCACCATAATATAGCTGCGCAAGGTCACGCTCCGCGGCTCGCCACCTTTCCGAGCAACCGAGGATCATGAAATTAAACGGCCTCGAAATTGCAGACTGGATTGCAGTTCAAGATTCTATTCCAGTGAGTCATTGCAAGACAAGCTTTGCTCATGTACAGTTCTGCTCCTGAACAACCCGTTTGTTCAAACACGTGCGCCGCTTGGTGATGGGATATCGTGTATCAGCCCTTCAACATCGCTGTCTGCAAGGCAACGGGCTGAAGCGCCTCGTGTTTGAATCCACGCTGCACGACCGTTGAAGCTCTTCTGCACAATGGGCAAGGCATCCGCCTCCTTCCCACAGGTTCGAGATTCATTCCACATGATTGTATTTACCTAAAAGCGTGAAGGCTGTTCCTACCTCCCGGAACTTTCCAGTTCACGAGCCTGAGCATCGTCTCTGAGCATCTCTTGCAGAACATGTGGCCGCAGGACAACCAAAGGTCCCACTCGGCATTCCCGTCCTGACCTGCACTGCTCCGAAGGATGCAGCTCGTGGACCCGTCGGAGGTTTTAGTTTAGCTTTCTACCACTTGCCGTATACTGTCAGTCTTACCAGTAGGAAGCAGCCTTATGGCTAGAGACCATGACTGGTCAACGTCAAAACATCGGGAGTTTGAGAAAGCCGTTGGGACCCTCACATGGGCCCCGTCAGTCAGGACAGTCTGATGGGATCGACTTGTTTGCTCAGGTTCGGGCAAATCCAGCACAAATTCGCTTCCTTGGATGAGCAGCAAATTCCAGCACAGGATTCTGCAATTACACCAAAAGAAGAACTCTGCTGTTCAGAACTGTTGCATGAAAGGTGTATGGCTGCATCTCGCAAACTCACAGCACAACCCATCTAACAGTTTTCACTGGGAAAAGGTTGTCAGCCATTGTGGAGATAGGCCTTTCCTCGCGCAGCGAGTGCATTTCTTGAATGCGGGTCCGAATGCTACTGACAACACTGAGTCTGGAATGTCCTGTGATGTAGTGTCGATCAAGGTGTTACTGTCGTGAAACAGCCACGAATGACACCTTGGGTCCATGATGGTTCATGCGAACACCTGCAGCTTGCCCACAATTACGAAAGGCACATGCGCGATCCGAAATTTTTGCTAAATCGCACCAGTCGAACGGTACGACCCCTTACAGAGCAACCGCCAGGCTTCATAGTCTTCCCACGACGATGGAACGCAGCTGTCTCTCTCCCGCTGGAAAGGTCCGTTCAAGTGAATGCAGGTGGCCAACCCGACCTGGATAGCGACCCTTTCAGGCAGACGAAGTCATGTCAAGCCAGGCAATAGCAAGCAGCTAAATGCTGAGAACCAGGAGCTGATAACATGAACCTCACAGCATGACTGTGCCAGATGCTGCACGACTTTGCCTTGCCAGTACCGCTTGCTCTGTGCAACCATTTGGCAATGACAAAGGCCATGCCCAGCACGCAATGTGAAACAGAAAAATCAACATTTCAAGCCACATATTGCGGTCGACGTCCACGAGTGAGGGGCGCATGCCTTGGACGTAAGCTCTGGCATGCCGAACACCGAGCAGAGACACTGGCAGAAGTGTGAGTTGATGGAATGAACATGGTCTCAAAGGATCTCAAAGGGCTGTGGCGCATTCAACCAGAAAGCAGTCTAATCTGCTCGAGTTAAACTGTGATCTACCCTTTGGCAACCATTTTGAAGAATCTACATTGACATATAGTGCCATAAATACATCGGTCAACTCTAAATACCTTCTCACCGTCAATGCTCGTTTAGGTATTGCTGCACGACCTTGAACCGTCGTGGAGCTTGGTCTTGCGACCACAACATGGGGTCAACCACAGTGATGACCACAGATTTGACGAAGTCACACAGGCCCGAGTAAGCTGAACTTCATGCATCCGAGCGTTGATTGGTTCGATCTCGAAACCGGGCGATATGCTTTGTTGATATATCGAAAGCTGCGCGAGCCGAGCTCTCCTGTGGTCTATACCAAGCAAAAAGGTCAGAACAGCATCTCCTGTCTAGCCACGGTTGATCTCGTCCACCAGCCAATTAATTCACGTGGGCCGATGGGACTGTACCCCTTCGTATCCCCGGCCAGCTTGACAATTCTCCTCGTCCACCACGATCTGCTCCAGCGAAGAGGAAAAGGCGTGCTTGTGGGTCATTCAATCGCATGGCCATCCGAACTGCGTGGCCGAGGAAAAGCAGGCCGATCGGCTGATCGGCTGGATTCCATCACATTCCACAGTCTCGTTCTGCCGCTCGGCTAGAGTGACTCCAAAGTTCTACCAAGTCAGACCTGTAATATCGAAACAAGTGCACACACATTCATTCCAGTGCCCACTCCACCTATCTTGTTCGCCTCGGACCCGGCCGAAGTGGTCAGAGGTTGTTACAGAGAATGGCTGCTTTCCCAGATCTTAGTCCCTTAGCGGGGCCTGTTTAAAACACATGCTTATTCTGAAAGGAAAATGGCCATTCTGGAGCCCTCACCTTCGTAAAAATTAGAATTCGCGTCGGCAGCCCTTCATTCGCGAAACCGATGCCAAAGCACGACAACTCAGAGGTTGTGTCTTGCACTTTGTGGCAAAGACTTGACTCCCCCACACATTTCGTAACACTTTAGCACCCCGTCAATTAACAAAAGACTCACCATGAAAAGGAACAGGAGTCACCGTGTTCGAACAGCGCGGTTCCCCTCCACACTACCCCCCACCCTCGTCCACCTCTCTTCCCCGCTTCCTCGCCTCTCCCCCCTGCCTTGCCTCCCCCAAACGAATACTCACATTAAAAACATGTCTGAGGATTTGTGAAGCAAACGCAGTCATTCACGCATAACCTTGCCTGTGTGACCTACCTCCTGCCTTTTGAAACAATTGACATTGTGCCTGCTTCAAGTACGGTCGGGCCGAGGCGGACGACGCGAAGCGTTTGAAATTACTGTACATTGCGACTCATACAAATGGGTACATACATATGCATACACTTGCGTACAATTATGGAAACATATCCATGCACATACATACACACACGACGTACGTAGTAGTAGGCACATACATGCATACATGCATAAACAAAGATGCAAATACGTATCTACATGCATACATACATACATGCATGCATACATACATGCTTACTTACATGTATACATACGTACATAATACACGGCATATACAACACATGCACACAGATATGCAAACGAAAATACATACACAAAAACACATACATACATATATATATATATACACATACGTACATACTTACATATGGACAGACATACATACAGACATACGTACATACGTACGGCATACGCACATACATAAACACACACACACACACATACACGTGAATACACACATACACGCACATACAAACCCTCTGAGGCAGCAATGTTGTTGCAAAACCGGCAGGCCCCCATATAGATAGATTGTTCACAGCCACCTGTACCAGTACTTACAAGTACTAGTTATTGGCATAAGGCAGTACAGTACTGGGATCCCGGCTCAAGCTCGGACCCATCGCCTGAATGATCCGTGTCCGCGTACCTGGTGACTGCCTCTGCAAAGGGTTTCGATAGCCCACGGCTCTGCAAAAGGATCAACTTTAGATGGTAAGAAGCGATGATTTCTACAAAAGCATCTCTGCAGGGATTCGCGTGGTTGCCGTGGCAGAGCACCGGGCCTGGTTCAAAACAAACTCGGCAACTTGGCTCCGCCAGGTCGTGTCATGGTGGAGGTCGCCCTCCGGCCTTCGGAAACTCTCGATCGAGTGAGGCTTCGACTTCTACATATTATTGTATATTGCATACATACAGAAATACATCCATGCATGTATACATACATACATACATGCATGCATGCATACATACATGTACACACATACCGACACACATTGCACGCACGCATGCACGCACTCACACAGAGAGCAAAGGCAGAGGGAGAGAGATGTGCACGTCCAGAATGTTCATGGGTAAGCGCTTACCGGATGACTGAGTTCTGCGAACGCCGGCGACCCTGTGTTTGTTACTTGTTGCGGCAGTTCCATCTGCGAAGATGCGATTCTCCAGCTGCGCCTGTCACCAGCGAAATACATATCCCACTGCGGTCTTCTCCCAGCCTCATCCACTGCAAAGAGAAGAAATCGATGATGCGAGAGCCACCTGGTTTTGAGCCCGCTTGCAGCAATGTGACAAACTGCAGGAAGCACGTCGCCGGACCTTTCGTGCATGACGTGCCATAGAACAAGAACATGCTTGTCACACTTTAGAACCCACGTAATCCGCGTATCCCATTTCCCGCCTTGGTAAAGCCGCTCTGGTGGTGCTTGGCGATGCGTGCCAAACCTGGACTCGAGATTCGATGAAGATTCTGTTTTGACAGACATCCTGCCCGGAGCATTCCTGCACATAGGCATCACCCGTTTCAACAACTCGAACAGCAAAGGCCCAGCAGATCTGTCCAACGGACACTCAACGATTTGCGCCACTTTACGGAGAGCTGTCTGATTTAAACAAATCTGCTCCATTTCTGCTTCTGGTAGCAAGCGCCCCAGCAGCCCGCCCCAAGCATTGTCAGGCATGCGTGGAAACCTGGCAAAGATCCATATTTCGCACCAATGCAAGTAACTGGAAGAACCGGGCCGCGTCTCTGCATGAAGTGCCTACACCTCTCTCATAAGGAGCTTCACACACTCGAACTCGATTGTGGTTGCTACAAAGGACCTGATGACAGCATTGCAGCATAGTGATCGCATTGCAACAACCGGTTCGGAGTGTTCTCAAGTTCTCATATGATCACAGTATCTGCTATGTGTTGGTTGGTCGTGGGTGATGAGCGTTGCGCTTGGTTGCATTTGTGTCGGTGTTGCAACAGTAATTCAATCTAGCATGATTAGTTGGAGTTGCCCCCGGCCACAGCGCCGAAGTCAGAACCCAATCTGGCTCCGATCCCTGGCCGTCACCTCCTCACCAGCCACGCGAAAGGTGCGGCAAATATGAAGCAGCAGCTGCCCCGGCCATGCCTGAGCCGCTGCATGTATCTTGGCTCTAGCTCCACGATGCGAGCAGCCTACCCTGTCAAACGTTCTCCACGATTTTCCGCTCTCCCGGTTCACAAACATTCATTGGAATATGGCATCTACTAGCACTAGCAGGACTCCCAGATGTAATTACACTTGTCAAGAAACAGTGTGCATCAACACCCACAGCAATGAAAACACGCTACGACAGCTACAAAGTATCTGACGAGTAGGAACTTGTCAGACCTCCTTTATCCTGCAGAGCAAGTTGCTGCGTTGAGGATACCGGATAGCAACAATCGCATGAGCCGCCATCGTAGGGGCCAGGGTAGGGACCCGACCAATACATCAGGCCCTTAGGATTCCAAGAGTGAGGCAGCAGTTTCTACAAGTTCGTAATTCGTGCTGGATTGATGGTCACACTTCACTCTGCACAGCAACACAAGGCGATAACTCAGCATTTCCGAGGTGCATCCGTGGGCGACGCACCTTGCAGCACACAGAGAGTCATGAGGGGCAAGTTATAGATCTGGAGATCCAGCGTTGATGTCTCGTTTTAGGCATCCTTTTCAGCAGACTGCATACCATCGTTTGATTCTGCGCATCGCTTGAAGTCTTTAGGTGCGAACTATTGTAACTCATCTCCATAACTTCATGCTACACTTCTGTCAGCTTTCAGACCAAACCTTGCTCGGCCTATTGCACCATCGCCGAAACAGCAGCAGCAATCTGCAGGACCACCTCAAGCAGTTCACGAGGCATCTCGCCAGAGAACGATTCTCGAGCCGTGAGCACCGAGGACCTCCAAAAGCTCGTGCTCGAGGCATTGACCCCCGTTTCTGGGCCCGGAGCCTTTTGGGGATGCTGACTCGAGAAAATACACTTCTGATGTGGTTCAATGAAGGAAATTCAATGAGGGAAACGTTCTTGTACTATCAAAACAAAACCTAGGGTTAAGGGTTGACGATTTCAGGTTTCGGGTTCAGGGTTTAGGCATTAAGGCAACGTCTAGGGCTTAAGGTTTAGGGTTCAGGGCTTGAGGTTCAGAGTTTAGGGTTTATGGTTGAGGCACCTGCCTGAGACAGTGGTCGTCGTTATCTTCGGCTTGAAGGAGGGAGGCAGGATGGAGGGAAGGAGGGAGGGAAGGGCAACAGAGGACTGGAAGCATGAGAAGCCCGGCAAGGAGATGTTGGCCTGCCGCTGGCCAGCCAGACCATGAAAGAAAATGCTCGCTAGCACCCTCAACCGCGCAAGGAGATGATGGCTGTCAAAGCCCGAACCCAGACAGGACATGTTGGCCGACCTCATGACCATCGTCGACAAAGACACTGTTGTAGGAAGAGAGGGAAGAAGCCAAAGGAGAAGAAGTGGGCACAGGACCAGTTCAGAAGCAACGGTACTAGGACAAGCATAAGCAGGCCGACAACCAGATGAACCGAGTGCCGTAATGACTCTGACCGACGACCGACCGACCGACCGACCGACCGACCAACGCGGACTGAGAGATTGACTGGCAAGCGGTCTGCCAGATCGACTGACTGTCAGAGCCAGCAGAAAAACTGAAATCATATTACCACAGAAAAACGAAACTATCAAAAAGGAATCTGGGTCTGCTTCGACGTGTGCGAATCATGTCGGAGTGAAGGCATCCTCACCATGGCTGTCGTAGCCTCTGTATATCAGACAGGTATCTTGGCAAATATACACATTTTTCAGTGATGCTGCCGGCTGCTCAGGCTTCAAGTTGTGATAGTAGGTAATCCGCAGCTTGGACCCCTCCAGGTCGGGTTAGTCTATGGGAGGTGGAGTTGAGGCATTCACACGTAGCAGCCAGCGCCTGCTGGCGGAGCGTGGACAGATGTGCGTTGAACATCTTAAAGTTGAAGCCAAGGTTCACGAACCGCAGGATGAGAAATCGCAGCATCCTCGATGAGGCCGGATGCACCGTCAAGATTGTCTTGACACACCAAGCGACTCGGGAATCAATAAGCGCACTGCTTTCAAAGTGGCCTGCATCGCAACAGTCGACGCTGCCTTCACCCCCACCCCCAGCGCAGCCGCAAAGGACACAAAGGCCCGCAATTGCGGCAACAACCTCGCACCACTGCATAGGCACCAACATATGGATAATACGTAGAATGCGGCTCAATCATTCGAGTGGATCCGGCTTCCGGTTCTGAAGCTGGCAGTGAGGGCTGGCGTCTGAGGCTGCGACCAACATGATCATCACCATCGCCCAGAGCAAAACAGACCACACAAAAAACGCAAGCAGGTAGACAACCATCAGCGCCACGTGGAACCACACCCCCAGGCTGAGGATGTAGATGCTCCTGGGAGTCAATCGGCATCGCGCAATTGAGTCTAACTCAGTCTTACTGGATCTCCTGTCCCGAATCTACACGAATTGGCTCAACCGCTGCATGAGTGGCACTCAGAGCCATCTGACGAAGTGGAGGCAGACGCAGCTCCGTAGACAAGCGTAATGTGCTGCCCAGAATCCAAGCGAACTCATCGAAAACCACATCCAAAGGCTCTGGTGCCTTGTGACAAGCCCGCGGTACGAGAAGATTTGTAATTGCAGAAATTTGAAGGGTGGCAGGACACCACCAGGCCATCGTGCATAAAGACGAGGCTTTTGCGTTTACTAGTATGAATCTCAACGTGATGACACCCTGGATTGTTGCCAAAGATTCAAAGCTCAAAGCTGCAGCACCAAGTGGCCATGGGACATCCGCCTTCACAATCGGAAGGAGACCCGCACCTGCTGATGTCGATGCCCCATCTTGACAACGGCAGCAGATTAGCACAGCTGAGATAAACGTTCGGTGAACGCACAACACTGAACTTCTCGCAGCTCCAAAGTCGGTTGAGGAAGAATCCGCACACCCCTTCGGACTTGCAGACAAAAGGCATCCACAGTACGTCGTTCCAAAGCGACGTGTCATGATGATCGCATCGTACTCGCTTCCTTCCACTCACGAACCCATCTTCTCTTGATTGTCGCATATTGTCGCCATTGCAACGAACTGTTTCGTCTAGAGTTCCCCTCCTTAGCCGTCTTGTACTAGAGATTCGATGGTAGAGCATGCCTAGATGCGGCCGTGGTTTGATTTCGCGCTGCGAGTGAGACTGGTGCTCCTCCCCTGCATCTCTCGATCTTCCTCTGCAAGCTGTGGAGGCCCATGCACACGCTGACACTGAGGCGCTATTTTCAAGTTGCAAACCCTCGCGTCTTTGAAGGACATTGGCTCTCCACATGGTTGCACAAGCATGCAGCAACCTTCGCTTTTGAGGAGCACCATGCTGGTGCCGAACCCTACCAGAAACTACCAGAAACAAACAATTTTATCACGTTGGAGGATTTGATCTTCTGTCGCGTTCAGTGGCGCCGGCTCTGCAAGTTTTTTCAGTCTGCTCTCTCTGTGAGTAGGCTGGGTTGCGTGAGCATTGTCCTGTAGCTGGACGTTTTCAGAGAGCGACATTCCGATGGGATGCATTGTTTCGAAACTGCTGTCGGTGAGATGCTCAAGTACTCGATGACCGTGTTTACTCCTCCTTGTGGCCTGATGGACACCCACCTCCAATTGATATTTCCGGGCGTAGTGGTTCAGGAGGGTTCGGAAGTCGACATGCATGTCATGCTCTCATACACCTCTCATACAAAGTCTCTCTCAACTATCCTCTGGCGGCTTCACAAATTGCTACAAGCCCCCTTTCTTTTCGCAGTCCGAGCCATGGAAGCCATCTTAAACGTTGCCTGTCGGCAAGCTTGCAGAACCATGGAAACCATCTTCAACGGTGTCGTCTGTCGGCAATTCGTCTGAGCCACGGAAACATCTTAAACGGTGTCCTGTGTCGGTAAGCATGCCGGCTCGTTGTTCGTTTGGTTGGATCAGACATGGCAAGCCAAGCCCCAAACCCGGCACCGCAGCCATTTAATGCTTGAGTGCAGTGCTTAGTATGTTGTTCAGTTCCTGAGTGCAGTGCGACTGATTATTTTCAGCAGTGCCTGAAGGTGACGTGCTTGTGCGTAACCACAACCTGTTGTTTTGAAGGATCCTTCCTTCATAGTGGAATACGGGATGGTTACGGATGGTTGTGATTTAGGAGGGCAGGTGCAAGTTTTAGGCAGGGTTACTTCATGACTGAGTGCACCACCCCAAGCACACGCTAGATTTACAAACGGCAGCGCAAGTCACCAAAAGGCACCGCCACCAGTCCAGTGCCCACGTGCACGCTCTGCACCGGCAGGCCATTTTGCGAGAATTGCCGTGCATGCGCTGGAAAGACGATCGAAATCATATGGCACAGACACCAAATCCGCAATGTACGCTCTGGCCAACTGAGGTTGGCATCACAGCACAGCAAAACCTCCATGTAGACGCGAGTTCGCGAGTACCCGCTCAACACACACGGTAGCAGCGGAGCACATGCAAAGACTCATGAAAAGCGCGTGTAGTGTAGACGCTCGATTTGTCGGGCACCTGCATGAGACAAACAACTCCGGGAAAGTTGGCTCGTAAAGCTATTGCCTAAGTGTACGCGCTCTGCATGGCGGCGCCTTCAGATCTGCGCAGGCAGTTTTTGTGACCATGGATTAAAGGCGGGCGATGACCGCACTACAGAATGCGTTGGAACATGTTAGAGTTAGGACACATGCTTCGTCCCTGTGATCCCGTGGACGTCGGTGCTGCAGAGCCGACAGCACACTTTGAGAGGCGAGGTGGTAGGGGAAGGGGTGGAGGGTCGAGGTCCACAGCAAACATGCTGCTTTTACCACATCCCATATGATTCAGAACCATCAGAACCGCGATCTGGGCGTGCTTGAAGCACGCCATAACTTATCATCAGGACAATGGGATCCCGAAGGCGCGTGAAACAACGGGTGCTGTCGGCTGCTCGGCCTGTCACATGCTGCCTGCAACGTAGGCAAGCAGACTCTGCTTGTCGAAGAAAGCAACTTCCAAGACACCGATACATCAAAACCTAACAATGTGTTCTGAGATGCGCTGCACACTTATGAACACCACCACATCCACACCAGTGCCTGCAGGCACGACCTTTCCCATCCCCAAAGATTCCGCCAGGTCCTTCCAAAAGCGATGAAGACGATGGACACGCAAAGAAAGACCTGAAGCTGCGGCGGCAACCCATTGATGAGCAGAATTCTCTTACCATATGCAGAGAAAGCAGTCAGGTGACATGTCACGGACGTCGTGTTTTCGTTAAGAATCATGCTGCCTTCAAGCGTTCGCTATTCTGGCCCGGTTGCACGTCCTAGTACGGATGATGCAAATTCAAACACCATCCAGGCTTCTGAAGCTCGGTGCCACTGAATGGCCGGGATAGAACAGGTTAGAACTGACGGCTTCATATACCTGCGAAGCTAGCATCCAAGTCGAATCACATTCTTTCTGAGTTCTGCCAAGCCGTCTCTGCCCGCCTTCCAAGCATGCTCGTACACGTCCAACACTGTGCGCGTGGTCCAAACAGAGAACGTGTACATCAAGCCCATGCATTCTGCTCCTCGGAAGCCACGAGGGGAAATGTGATACAGTGGGTATGGCGCTTTGACACTAGCACTCAAGCCGATGCTGAGTGTGATATGCCTCAGAAGGCCCGGCTTCTTGCATTGCCACTGATCCCCAATCCCCAAGTGTCAAGACGATGTCACGAATTTGGCTTGATCATACGTGAAGCCGCGCGTCCTTTGTTTTCGAAGCCGCGATATCCATTCTCGTAGGATTTTCCCCACCCGCAGTAGCAATTCCAGTTCGGGACCGGGCATGAAGCAAAATCTCCTGCCAGCAGAGGCTTCCATGGAGGAAGCGCAGCATCATCGCAACGATCCGGGGTCTGTGTCTGGGACATGCCTGCACGAATCCCTAAAGAAGCAGCTGGAAGAGCAAGATGGATGCGTTTATGTGTCTCGCCTTCCTGCTGGGCATATGCGTTCTTTACATAAGATGTTCAAGGCCTCCTAGAAGTCCAGAGTCTGTCAGGTGACTTCCTGTTCATCCTTCTTTCAGATTCTGCTTGTTCATAGTGGCCAGCGATCCTGAAGGAGTCACGTTTCCCATTCCTGAAACATGTTCGATTGCTGCGACGTGTTGCAAACTTGGCGGTGCCCTGTCCTAGAAGCTTGCGGCACTGCTGGTCGCTTTCACATCGGAACTGCTCGCAGACCTCAGGTGCAGCCCGAAGACATGCATCTTAGCAGAACAGCAAAGTGGATGACACTCAGATAGCACTCGCGTCCGAAAGGTCTACACTCAACGAAACAATCATCGGGACCGTCAACAGCACGATTTCTCAAGCTGGACGCGGGGATCACTACCACTTCAGCTTCGGAAAACAAGCTCAAGGTGTAGGCAAGCTCGGAAGGGGCCCGAAAAGGGAGACAAAGCACCTGTCACGGCAATGACTTTAACGGAACATACCTTCTGCACTGAGCAACGACTTGGATGCAGCATATCTTGAATATGTTGAATGCACCAGCAGAACAGCAAGCAGTGCACATGTCTGCGGCGTTGAAGCTACCAAAACTATGTTCTGCCGTGCAGGTGTTCGTTGGCAGATCTTGGCAGCATATGGCCTATGGTATCCAGAACAAGCTTTCTTGGAAAGCCAGTACCATGTTGCTCTGTGTCTCGGTTGAGGTGCCCCTTCCAGGAAGTCCACGGTGTCGGTGATACCGGCTGTGGCCCAGTGCTTGTCGCAAATGCCTGGGAAGTGCACTGCACTCATTGCAGAGTTTTTGCGACAGCTTCCAAAACTCTGAACACCTGCAATGGCAAGTTGCATTTCTGCGTATTGTTGTCATACTTGCCATGCCTGCAGTCGCGCGGCTGGCCCAACCTCAGCCCACTCACTCTGGGCCCAATTAAAGAAAGCATTTAAGTCAGCCTGAGCCGACGTCGACTTGTGGATGCAACGGTGTCTTGCTCTGCTCCCTGCTCGCCTTGTACCACCCCTAAAACTTAGGCAAGCTTCGCCACAGCAACCAAAGGCAGAATCCACCAAGCACGGCTCATGCAGTGCGACGGCAGAATGCCCAAGTCTGAATGCTCAGAATACGCTTATTCTTGGCTTGTAGAATCTGATCTTTTCTTCAGTACGATAGCTGCCACAGCATCTGCTGGTATGTCCAGTGAGTTGCTTGTGAAATCATTCGGCTCTAACCGTAACCTTGATCCCTGGGTCGATCGCGGATTGCTTCATCTATTGGAGCCCTCGCTCCCCTGCTCATGGGCGCATAGTAATGTCTGCCGGCTTCTCTGAGACTCTGGGGCCTACATGTTGTTGCTGCTGAGTCTACTCTTCTACTTCTACTTCTACCGCTGATACTAGTAACTACTATCTACTACTATCTACTGCCATCTACTACTACTACTACTACTACTACTACTACTGCTACTACTACTACTACTACTACTACTACTCCTGCTGCTGCTGCGCTACTACTACTACTACTACTACTACTACTACTACTACTGCTAGTACTACCACAACTACCACTACTACAACTAATAAAAATAACTACTAGTTTTACTGCTGCTTGTACTACTACTTTACTACTACTACTACTACTACTACTACTACTACTACTAGTTACTACTATCTACTACTACCACTACTACTACTACTACTACTACTACTACTACTACTGCTACTACTACTACTACTACTACTACTACTACTACTGCTACTACTACTACTGCTACTACTACTTCCTAATACTACTTCCTACTACTACTACTGCTGCTGCTACTACTACTGGTACTACTACTACTACTACTACTAGTTACTACTATCTACTACTCACTACTAGTACTACTACTACTACTACTACTACTACTACAACTACAACTACTACTACTACTACTACTACTACTACTACTAAATATTACTATTACCACTACTACTACTACTACCAAAACTGCTACTACTACAACTACAACTACTACTACTACTACTACTACTACTAGAACAACAGCTACTACTACTACTACTACTGCTGCTACTACTACTACTACTACTACTGCTCCTACTACTGCTGCTACTACTGCTACTACTGCTACTGCTACCACTACCACTACCACTACCACTACCACTACCACTACCACTACCACGACCACGACCACTGCTACTACTACTACTCCTCCTGTTACTACTACTACTACTACTACTACTACTACTACTA